ACTAGTAATAAAATTAATGATAATTTTATATTTTTTAACATTAATTAATGAAAAAACAGTGTAATAATTACACTATTTAAAAATTAAATACCTTTGAGAAAATTTAAGAAAAAAATTGAAAAAGAGAGGCAAATTAATATACCACCTAAAAATATTATGGTTTTAAATCAATAAAAAAAATTAGATATTAAATCCCAATCCAAATTTAAATCATAAAACTCTAAATCACAAATTAAACTTCAACCTCTAAATTTTTATTATTGAACTCTAAAATTATAAAACTAAATGCTAAATTCTAAAACTCTAAAGTTTAAATTTCTAATTTTACATTTTAAATCTTAAATATTGAAACATAAAATTATTCTTGTTAAATTCTAAAAAAATTAGATTTAAAGTTAAATCCTCAATTTGGTTCCTGAACTATTGTACGGATCTTTGATTTGGTTCCTACTGTTTACCAATTTACCTCAAGTTGGTCATTCCGTACAAAAACCAACTGACGTGTCTTATTATTAACATGACACATAACCGTTAAGTTACTGTTTTTTGTTGTTAAGTTACTGTTTTTCGCCGTTGAGTAACGAATACGTCAATTGTTTTTTATACGGAATAACCAACTTGAGGCAAATTGGTAAATAGTAAGGATCAAATTGGAGGTCCGTACAATAATTAGGGACCAAATCAAGAGTCTATATAATAGTTCAGGGACCAAATTAAGGGTTTAACCTAGATTTAAAAATAATAAATGTTTAATTTGAAAAGTAGTACAGTTAAAGAAATAGTAATTTTTATTTTATTATTGTGAATTAACTATTTTAGTATAAACTTTTTTTTATATAATTTTGCCCAAATAATTTGTCTCTTTTATTAATTTTTGGTTTAAAAGGGTATTTATATTAACAAAAAATAATAGCAAATATGTATTAAGAATATTGGAGTCAAGTGGCATTAATTAACCTTCTAGATTAGATTTTTTTTTCTTGTAATTTTGGACTTTGACAGTAATTTATCTCATTAAATAACAACATAAAAAATATTCCCCTGAAAAAAAAGTTATTAAATAATGAAAAGTTTTGTCATTGGTCAAAAGATTCATAAATTAAGGATTGTATAAAAATTTTGCATATGATATTTTTTCTTCATTAGTTTTTCTCTTATTATATAGATATCTATAGAATAGATTTCTAATGCAACATAATCAAATGGTTGTGCCAAATAAAAAAAGGAAAATGATTTAGAGACAACATTTTTGTACTATTTTTTGGGATAATTTTACATGTCATTTAAATAATTAACTTTTTTATTCATTTGAAACCCATAATATTAAATATATTTATTCATTTAATAACTATGAAAATGTATCAAAATATGGTATGAAAAGGTTGATCCTATATCACCGTCTAACAAAAAAAAAAAAAAGCCAAATAGAAGATGAAAAGCATCAAATCCAATAAAATATAATACAATTAACTGAATAAAACTTAAAATTAAAAAGAAAAAAAATACAGTTTTATGAAATAGAATTAATAAAACTTGAATGATATAACATAAAAGAGGTGAGGTTATTGTTGCACCTTAAAAAGTTAATACTATATTATTTTAATGTAATTATTTATTATACCCTTACTTTACATTTTTTGTCAAAATTCTTTTTTTTTTTTTGTTTTTTAATAAATTAAAAGATATAATAATCAATTAAAATAAAAAAAATGTGACATTAATAATTAAGAGTGTGGTAATAATATCACCTCATAAGAAGGAGAATAAAAGACTTTTCTATACTCATCTTTGTTTGTATCTAAGTTCAAGACTTTTCACTGACATTATTATTTTTTTCATGTCTAATTCTATCCATATGAGTAACTTTGATATTGTTGAAAAAAAATAAAGCTTCACACTTTCTTTAATTTTACAAATACCATATAATCATTATTCAAATTTTATAAAATAGTATTAATAAAACTTAAAATATATAACATAAAAAGGATGGGTTATTGCCACATTTTAAATAATTAATACCACATCATTTTAATATAATTATTTATTTTACCCTTACATTATATTTTTTCTCAAAATTTTATATTTTTTATTTCTTCATAAATTAGAGGGTATAATAATTTATTAAAATAAAAACGCTCCCAGTGCTCTTGGAAAAAAATGTGCAGCCAACAAAATGTACTATACATTGTATACAATTTAAATATATTGTTCTAATGTATTAATTAATGGTAGAATAACTCTTGTAATAATAATAATCACATTTAAAAAAGAACTTAAAAGAAAAAAAATTTACCAAAAGAAAGTGAAGCCACATGTAAAAAAAAATAAAGTAAGAAAGACAGATGAATGTATCACCTAACAAATTTTCTTTTAATGGTTTGTTCTTTAATTATAATATATATATATATAG